GTATATACATACATACATACATACATGGGCTGGGGATCTAGCTTAGTTGGTAGAGTGCTTGACTAGCATGCACAAGGGCCTGGGTTTAAATCCCGGGACCCCCAAAAAAAAAAAAAAAAAGTGAAAGGAAGGAAGAAGTAAGTTAGTTCTAAAAAAGAAATAGGTCTTTTATTTTTTTTAACTTAGTAGCTTTTGGTGAAAAAAGGATTTGGAGTTATGCAGACCATCTTTGAATATCTAGGCATTCTGTGTGATAGGACACTAACACAACCAGTATCTTGAAATTCAATTAAAAAGACTTTTTTTTTTCCTTTTATAAGCCCTTCCTTTTTGATTTTTTTTCTTTTCCCAAATAAATGATTTTGAGTTTCTGCCACTTCTGCAATTGTGCTTTCTCATTCACAAAAATGCAGAGTCTCCTAGGATAGACTAGTCTGTTTTACTTTATAAGAAGTTACTTTGCCCAGTATAACAGCTTTATTGAGATGTGATTTACATACTAAACAGGTCACTTACTTAAAACATACAACTCAATGTATTTTAGTATAGTGATGGAGTTACACAATATCATGTTAATTCCGTAAAGAAACCCTTAATAGCTGTGGGCTGTTACTCCCATTCTTCCCCAACTCCAGCGCTAGGAAAACACTGATCTGCTTTCCATCTTTCTATTTACCTCGTCTGTTCATTTTATGTGAATGGAATCAGGTCTGTGGACTGCTGTGCCTGACTTCTTTCTTACAGCAGTGTTTCCAGTGTCCAACAAGGCTGTAGCATGTGTCCTGTCATGACTTCATTCCTTTGTGCTGACAAATAGTACTCTATACTATGGATGCTCCGTACTTACCTGTTCATCAATTGATGGATATTTAGGTGGTTTCTTTTGTTGTTGTTGTTGTTGTTGGTTTGTTTAACTAATGCTACTGTGAATATTTATGCATAAATTTTCGTGTGCCTCTTCTCTGGGGTATATTCTGAGTAAACTTTTTGGGTCATATGGTAGTTTATGGTTTAGCCTTTTAAGGAAACACCAGACTCTTTTCTGAAGAGACCGAGCCTTTTTTCCATTCCTACTAGCAGTGCATGAGGGTTCCAGTTTCTCCACATCCTCATAGGATTTGTTATTACCCATCTTTTTCATTTTGTCCATTTAAGTGGATGTGAAATTGTACCTTCATTGTGGTTTTAATTTGAATTTCCCTGATGACTAATAGGTACTTTAAAAATATACTCTCTCTCTCTCTCTCTCTCTCTCTCTCTCTTTTTTTTTAATACTGGGGATTGAGTCCAGGGGTGCTTAACCACTGAACCACATCCCCAGCCCTTTTATTTAGAGACAAATTCTTGCTCAGTTGCTGAGGCTGGCTTTGAACTTGCAATCCTCCTTCCTCAGCTTCCCAAGTCGCTGGAAGAATATACTCAATTCATGTTCTCCTTCTCATTTTGCTTCCTTTCCTCTTTTTATCAGCCAGTCTTTGTTCATTTCTGGATTTTCAAGTCATATACTTTTTGTCCTTCCGAAGAGAGAGTGATGAATAGAGAAAACTGCCTCTCCCTGATATGGGAGCAGTGGCCCAAAAACTTATATGCCCCCTATCAAGAATTGTGAGGGGCCACATCTGTAGTAGAAGAGTAACCTGGGGGCTAGAGCAAAAAGGGGCTCTGGAATGCAGCCCTCCCCCCATGGTGAGAGCCCTGGAAGTGAACATGGAGGTGCTGGTGAAGAGTGGGAGCTGGTCTGATGCCTGCCTGCAAACCTTTTTTCCATATGCTCTGAGGGAAGTGATAGCAGAAATTTCTAGAAACCATTTACAGGAGCCATTAACCAGGAGAGCAGCCTCTGAGCGACCCACTTGGGTTTGTGTCCTGACTCTG